ACCCCAGCAATGGTTTCGGGGTGCTCTGCTTCTCCGGGGCAGTCACCTGGATACCCCCCACCGCCCATGGTTGCTTTTACAGCCCAGGGGACCATGCTTTCGCTTCCAGGAGAAGAGGGGGCCCCTGGTCTGGGCCCGGACACAAAAGAAGGGGGGCTGGGCCTCTCAGCATCCAGGGCCGGGGATGGAATTACATGAGCCGCTCGCTCTCCGTCGGGAGGCACTTCGGGGCAGAGCGGGAGGCGCGCTGTGACCCCTTCCCCTTCCCCTGGTGCCCCCCCTCCCCCCGCTTCTAAGTCCATTTCACAAGCTCCCCAGTCCCCCAGGCCTGGGGCCCTGCTAGGGGAAGCTGCCTGCGATCATGTGTCTGCAGCTCAGCACAGTCTGTGTCAGAAACTCCTAGAAGGACCCTCGGGGAGCGAAACTGTGGTCCAATCTGGGGAATGAATAAATGTCTTGAAGGGGCCCCCACCCGTCCCCCGGGAAAGCCAAGCGCTGGCCCAGCCCGGCTCAGCCTTGCCTGGTACCTTCCTCTTCTGCTGACAAAAGGATCCAGCGGCAGGACTTGGAGAAAGGGCCTGTGTTTACAGCTTAGTCCAATCGGCTGGGGCGCAGCTGCCGCCCCAGCCCCATTCTGTTTGCACAGAACAATCTTGTTTACCGTTTGGCCAAACGGCGGGCTTGCGTGGGCCTCGGGGCCCCTGTTGAGCAGTTGCATCCTATGGGGTTTATGGCAAATGACGCGTTTGCTAAATCAACGTGGACCACACGCACCAGGCCCCGCGGGGGAGGAGGCCTGAGATGGCCAAGGGGCGTTTATGGGCGCATCCGCGGGCACGTGCACAGGGATCCGCGTGGTTTCCCAGGTAACCATCCGAGGCTGCTTAAACCCAGGACGAGAGCGTGGACCGATCCATCGCACTCCCCATTCAGGTTGTTCATCTTTTTTCCAAAGTTTAATTATGAAAATCAAACTAGAGATTTGTAGGGTGTGCGGGCCCATGGGAACTCCTTTTATCTGAAAATAGACTCCCAAGAACGAAGTCTGGCCCTGGCCGGTGTTGTTCAGTGGATAGAGCGGCGGACCGAAGGGTCCCAGGTGCGATTTCAGTCAAGTGCACATGCCTGGGTTGCGGGCTCGATCCCCAGTAGGGGGTGTGCAGGAGGCAGCCGATCCGTGACTCAGTCTCATCCTTGATGTTTCTCTCTCTTCCTCTCCCTACCTCTCTGAGATCAATAAAAATATATATTAAAAAAAAAAAAAAGAATGAAGGCTTGGTCGTCTCTGTAGAGCTCTTGGAATAGCAACCCAGGTTGCACCCACCCGGACCCACTCCCTTCCTGGGGCAAAATGGTTCCGCCCCCCAAGCCGGCTGCCCCCATAGGAGTTTGGGGGGAAAGGGGGCGCAGAAACAGCCAATCTGTCCATCTCCCTGCTTCCGTTTACTGGCCAGGGTGGCTGAGGATCTGTGCGTCCTGCCAACTCCCCCCCTGCCGGCTCCTTAGCAGGACCCCTCACTGGGAACCCCTCGCCTCACCCCAGACCCCACAGTGGCCCAGTAAACCCCCAATGCAAATGATCCTGTCTTTTCCTCAGGTCCTGTCTTTTCCCAAACAAAAATCTGCTCCCCCCCCCACATCACCTGCGGCCAGACTGCTATGCCCACGGGGCCCCCACAATCCAATCCCAGCCTGGGTCCCTCCTGGTCCTGAGCATGGTCTTGAGCCTAACCCTGACCTTGACCCTGACCCCTCCAGGGCCAAGCTGCCCTGAGGAATGGCCTCCAAGCGCCAGCTTAGGGAAGAACTTCATCCCAAAAGTTAGAAACCACACAGGACATGGCGATTGCACCTGACTCTAAAAGTAAGAAACGTACATGGGAAAATGATCTCCAAGGTAAAAAAAAAATGGAGAGTCAGCTTGGAAGAAAATAGAAAAATAAAAAAGATCTTTGCGACAAGCGAGAGACACATGGCTCACTTACCTTGTATACAAAGAATTTGTACCGCCCGGCCGGCGTGGCTCAGTGGTTGAGCGTTGACCTATGAACAAGGAGGTCATGGTTAGGATTCCCAGTCTGGGCACATGCCCAGGTTGCAGGCTCCATCCCCAGTGGGGAGCGTGCAGGAGGCAGCCGCTCAATGATTCTCATCATTGATGTTTCTCCCTCTCTCCCTTCCTCTCTGAAATCAATAAAAATATCTTTTAAAAAAATACAAGAACTTCTCTCCCTCCCTGGAGTCCAGGGGAGGAGGGGTGCTGATGCTGGTCTCTGCACCCCCATTCCTAGGATCCCCCCCAACCAATTTCACTAGATTCTCAGGAGCAGTTCCCTCACCCGCAGCCAGGGGGCGCCCCCACCCTCCTGCCTGGCCCAGCCTGGAGGAGACCAAGACGGGGGAAATGGATGTCCTAGGCCTCCTGGCATCCGAGAAGAGCTTGTGGGCTTGATGAGTTTACTTTGCTGAGTAGTCCCAAGTACGATCCGCTTGTGGCTGCGTGTTGTGTGGACGTATGTCAACACGGATGCCCACGCTGCCGGGGCCCAAGGAGCCTGAGGAAGGTACGGGTGGCTATAAGCGGGCCAGGGCCACTAGCTGAGCTCCAGAGCTGGGTTTGCTCTGTTTCTATTTTTTATTTTTTTAATTGATTTCTGAGAGGGAGAGAGAGAGAGAGAGAAGCATCATTGATGAGAGAGAACCATGGATCGGCTGCCTCCTGCACGCCCCACACTGGGGATCGAGCCCGCAACCGGGGCCTGTGCCCTGATTGGGAATCGAACCGTGACCTCCTGGTTCCTAGGTGGATGCTCAACCCCCGAGCCACGCCGGCCGGGCTGCTCTATGTGACTGTGCCTGATGGATGAATGGAGACTCGAGTCACAGGTTCCCACAGCAACCAAGCCCTCACAAGAGGCCGGGAGAAAGACTCACACCACCGCCTCCTCTGTGCAGGGGTGAGCGTGGAGCGGGCACGGGACTTCCGTCTGCCCCTGATTCCTGGCCTGGGGTCTGCCCTCCTCTCTATGAGCTACTCTGACTGCTCAGGAATGGATGGGCGGGTGGGAGGGTGGATGGGTAGATGGACAGATGGAAATCTCCAGGACAGAGGCCCCTGGACAAGAGCCCGCGGTGGTGGGGGTCTGAATGGTCCTCTATAAACAGACCCGGGCGGTCAGCAGCCGTCTTCATTGACCAGGGGACGAACGGTTACCAGGCAACAAGCCCTGGGAACCCCCCACGCAGATGCCTTTTCTCCTGCTGTGATGTTGGCCGGGGGAAGTCATCAGCAAGAGAGAAGCGGAGAAGGGGGGGGGGGGGCTGGCCTCCCAGAATGTGCAGCCGGAAATGACCTTGACCTTCTCCCACCCCCGTGGTGCTTGGGAAACAAAGGCCCAGAGAAGCAGCCAACCCGGAGAAGTGTGTTGTTACCCGGGGCAACGCGGCCCAGGCGCCCCTGGCTCCCAAGCCTGGGAATCTGTCCTTGCTCCTCGGCGGGTGGGTGTTTGTTTCGGTTTTTGTTTTGTTTTTTAAAGGCTGAAGCAGATCGGTTTTTAAAATGCGGGCCCCAGGACCGGGCAGCCCTGGCGGACAGCCTGGAAAGGCAGATTGAGGCGGAGCGTCCACACCGTCCAACAAGGACCCTCCTGGGTTCCCAGACACCGGGCACCCTGTGCTGGAGGCAGCCGATCAAGGATTCTCTCTCATCATTGATGTTTCTCTCTCTCTCTCTCTCTCTCCCTCCCTCTCCCCCTCCCTCTCCTTTTCTCTCTGAAATCAATAATGAAATATATGTGTGTTTTTAAATTATATTCTTTTATTTTCAATCCTCACCAGAGGATATTTTTCCCGTTGATTCTTAGAGTGGAAGGAAGGGAAGAGGGAGGGGAGAGAGAAAGAGAGAGAGAAACATCAACGTGAGAGACACATCGATTGGTTGCCTACCACACGTCTCCTGACCAGGGCTGGGGCTCAAACCATAACCGCGGTATATGCCCTTGCCCAGGAATCGAACCCGAGACCCTTCATTCCCTGGGTGGATGCTCTAACCACTGAGCAAAACGGCCAGGGCTCCATCCACTCTTTCTGCCCTTGGCATCTCGGTGGGCAAATGTGGAGACTGGTTAAACTGACCAGGGGTGGACACCTTCTCCTTCTTCTTTTTCTCCTCCTCCTTCTCCTCCTCCTCCTCCTCTTCCTGCTCCTCCTCCTTCTTTTTCTTTTTGTTGATTTCAGAAAGGAAAGGAGAGGGAGAGAGAGACGTTGATGAGAGAGCAGCTGCCTCCTGCATGCCCCCTACTGGGGATGGAGCCAGAAACCCAGGCATGTGCCCTGACCGGGAATCGAACCCTATGGAGCTTTCGTCTGGGATCCTGGGGACAGATGATGACGATCGTGCAACACTGGAAATGCGCCCACTGGGAGTAAGTGACATAAAGCTGTACGTAAAGCTCTTGTAAGTGAAATGCTTAAAAGGGTACATTTTGCATCTTGTATGTTTCACCCCCAATAAGAACAAGGCGGTCTTACTTCTGTAAATAAACTCTCTGGACGAGCCCAAGAGGAAGTCAAAACAAAATAGTGCCGTTTTGCAATGCGGCCGCCACAGGGCCCAGGGCGGAGGGCGGCAGGCC